ATTTCAGGGAACAGCCCCCTTTCAAGGCGTACCATCTACCACTGCCCCCAGAACACCCAGTGCACGAAGACGGAAGTGGAAATGGCCTTGGGAGAAAGCAGTCGTGTTGACGGGAGCACGCGTCATTGCACTTAACAACCCATCCATGAACTACGATTTTGGCGACAACTTTGTATCAACAAGCAAGTACAACCCCTTCACGTTCCTACCCAAGTTCCTCAAGGGTGAGTGCAATCGTCGGTGTAGGGTGACGTAGAGATCTTATGGGGATTGACGTACGGGACAGAGCAATTCTCTAAATATGCCAATGTGTTCTTCTTGTTCACGGCTTGCATACAACAGATACCAGGCGTGTCCCCCACAAATCCTTACACAACCATCGCACCCCTCGCCTTCGTCCTCCTTGATCCGCATTCAAAGAGGGACAAGAAGATCTTGTGAGTTTCCTTTGTCCCACAACCCCATATCCGCCTAACATCTCGCTAGAAACGGCATCAATCAGACTCGGAGCTCAATTCACGCATTGCCAAAACTCTGTCGCCATCCTGTACATTTGAGCCACGCAAATGGAAAGATCTCCGAGTCGGCGACCTGGTCCGAGTCGAGTCCAACGAGTTCATACCTGCCGATCTTGTCCTCATCTCATCATCGGAACCAGAGGGACTGTGTTATATTGAAACATCCAATTTGGACGGGTGCGTTTCGAAGTCCATTGTTTTGTCCTGACAACCATCTTAACACGTGAACGACAAGTGAAACAAATCTAAAAATCAAACAAGCCTCCCCTTCGACCTCATCGCTCACCTCGCCATCCCTTGCCACATCCCTCCACGGCTCCTTGCGGTCAGAACAACCCAACAACTCGCTATACACATATGAAGGAACCCTAGAACTCCTCTCCGACGTAGGTGTACCTCGCCAGATCCCCCTAGGACCCGACCAAGATGCTGTTGCGGGGTGCACAATTACGAAATACACCCTGGATATACGGGATGGTTGTGTTTACGGGCCACGAAACAAAGTTGATGCGGAACGCGACGTGAGTGGGATGACTTGTTTTTACTTGGGGTCGGGTTGGGGGTAGGGGGATCAAATTAATCGACGAGTTGCTGACGCTCTGTGGAACACCCAGGGCTGCACCTATCAAGAGGACTGCGGTAGAAAAGCAGGTGAATGTGCATATCATCTTTTTGTTTGGGTTCCTGCTCGCGTTGTCTATTGGATCGACGGTTGGGGCAAGCATCAATTCGGTGAGTAGTGTACATTGTACTAGTATCCCATTGCGGATATGCTGATTGAGGATGTAACTGCGGATGCGATAGTGGTTCCTATCCAGTCAGCAATGGTATCTCTTCCAGCCAAATTCGTTTTCGGGTAGAGGTGATTCTTGCTCCTGTCCTTGAATATTCAGTCAATCCTAACTGATCATCCAACACCAGCGCAAGCATTCGTTGAAGGTATCTCCTTTCTTTCTTTATCATCGCTCCCAAGTAACGATCTTCCCTTTTAGATATCCTCACATTCATCATCCTCTACAATAACCTCATCCCCATCTCTCTCATCGTCACCATGGAAGTCGTTAAGTTCCAGCAAGCAGCACTCATTAATTCCGATCTCGACATGTATTACGCGCCTACCGATACACCCGCTTTATGCCGCACGTCATCGCTTGTCGAGGAATTAGGTCAGATAGAGTTTATCTTTTCGGATAAGACCGGTACTTTGACGAGGAATGAGATGGAGTTCAAGTGTGCAAGCATTGGAGGGGTGGCTTATGCAGAAGTAGTGGACGATCTTAGGAAGGAAGATGAAGCGATGGTGAAGGGGGCAAGGAGAGCTGGCGGACATTTGACGACTTGCGTCGACTCCTCGAGGGTACCTCCACGTCGTCCTCGGGTAATCGCTCCACCAACCCTTCGACACCGGTGCGACCTCAGGTATGGCAACGACGACAATACTGAGGGAGAGAGAAGTTGCACATGAGTTCTTGGCTCTCCTTGCGGTTTGTCATACGGTTATCCCGGAGGTGAAAGATGGAAAGACGCATTATCAGGCGAGTAGTCCCGATGAAGCAGCCCTCGTAGCAGGTGCAGAGCTTTTGGGGTATCAATTCCATGTGCGTTTTTCCCTTTCCCACCTTCCACATAACCGTGAGGCTGACTGAGCACTGCCCTTATCAAACCACCTTGTCGTCTAACGTCTCATACCTATCATAATCTTGCTATGCATACACACAGACCCGCAAACCCAAATCCGTCTTCATCAACATCTACGGACAATCCGCCGAATACCAGATACTCAACGTCTGTGAATTCAACTCGACCCGCAAACGCATGTCAACAGTCGTACGCGCCCCCGACGGCAAAATCAAGTTGTATTGTAAAGGAGCTGACACTGTCATTCTCGAGCGGTTAGGCAAGAATCAGCTTTTCACTGAGAAAACATTAGCACATCTCGAGGTCCGTGATCTTCTCCTTACGACTTTCTTTTCTGTTCAATGAGTCTGTGACCTCCAGGACTATGCCACCGAGGGTCTGCGAACGCTCTGCATTGCTTACCGTGACATCCCCGCTGCCGAATACGCCCAATGGGCGACCATCTACTCCCAGGCAGCCTCCACCATCAACGGTCGATCCGAAGCGCTTGACCAAGCCGCCGAGCTCATCGAAAAAGACTTACTCTTACTAGGGGCGACGGCCATCGAAGATAAGCTCCAAGAAGGCGTACCGGATACTATACATACGTTACAGATGGCTGGGATCAAGATTTGGGTGTTGACGGGTGATAGACAGGAGACGGCTATCAATATTGGAATGAGTTGTCGGTTAATTTCGGAGAGTATGGATTTGGTGAGTGTGATGCTGTCCGCACTTTTCGACACTTTCCACTGTTCGGTTAGCATGAGTTCGCTGATGCTGTCGCATAACAGGTCATTCTCAATGAGGAGACGGCCCATGATACGACCGAGTTCATCTCGAAACGGCTAAATGCCATCAAGAATCAAAGGAGTACTGGTGATCTGGAGGATCTTGCTCTGGTCATTGGTGCGCCCGTCATCCTTTCTCGCTGTCCTGTTACTCAGTCACTCCGACAGACGGAAAAAGCCTCACATTTGCTCTTGAAAAGGATATATCAAAGTCGTTCCTGGAGCTGGCTCTCCTCTGTAAAGCCGTCATCTGCTGTGAGTGGCGTTTACATTTGCCATGCCAATCGGCTAATATCCTTCGTTCTGTAGGTCGCGTCTCGCCACTGCAGAAGGCGCTGGTCGTCAAGCTTGTGAAGAAGAACCAGAAGTCAATACTCCTTGCTATCGGTGACGGCGCCAATGATGTCAGCATGATTCAGGCTGCCCACGTTGGGGTGGGCATTTCGGGCGTGGAGGTAGGTGCTGGGGTATCTGGAGATGAAATCGGCCTGAGCGTCGTCGAATAGGGTCTCCAAGCTGCTCGATCCTCGGACATCGCAATATCGCAGTTCCGATATCTGAAGAAGCTGCTACTAGTCCATGGAGCGTGGAGTTATCAACGACTATCGAAGCTTATTCTCTGTCAGTGCATCACTTATCAAGAGCTCCGAAAAACATATACTCACGGCCTTTTACAGATTGCTTCTACAAGAACTATCACTCTCTACTATGACCCAATTTTGGGTGCGTACTGTTTCCTTTCCGTCCTCACGTCATTGACATTAACATCCCCTACAGTACTCTTTCTTCAACAACTTTTCCGGACAAATCGCCTATGAATCATGGACGATCACATTTTACAATGTCATTTTCACCCTCCTGCCTCCGTTCGTTATCGGCATATTCGACCAATTCGTGTCGGCGCGTGTGCTGGACCGCTACCCCCAGTTGTATTCGCTGGGACAGAAAAATGTGTTTTTCACCAAGACGGCGTTTTGGTTGTGGGTTGGGAATGCGTTGTATCACAGTTTGGTCAGTTTTGTGACGCCAAGCGATGTGTGGAGAGGCTGTAGGTGATACTGACGCAACGAATTGACAGATCCTCTTTGGATTTTCCATCGTCTTGTTCTGGGGCGATCTAAAGCAGGCCACGGGATTGGATTCGGGACACTGGTTTTGGGGCACAGCACTCTACCTGGCGGTCCTCCTCACTGTCCTTGGCAAAGCTGCTTTGGTCTCAGAGTAAGTTCCCCATGCCGTCTCATGTTTCTGCGTGCTCACGAGATAAATCCCCTAGCTTATGGACGAAATATACCGTTGCTGCAATCCCAGGTTCATTCGTCATCACGATGATCTTCCTCCCGCTCTACGCAACCATAGCTCCTGCGCTGGGCTTCTCGACAGAATATTATGGGCTTGTCCCGCGTTTGTGGACGGATTCTGTGTTTTACTTTATGTTACTCCTCGTCCCTGTGTGTTGCCTGGCTCGGGATCTTGCGTGGAAGTAGTAAGTGTCCCGCAGCCCTAGTATTCGTTGGTTGAATGCCTGCTCACCACGGTTGTAACACAGCTATCGCCGGACGTACAAGCCACTGCCGTATCACATCGCGCAAGAAGTGCAGAAATACAACATTCCTGATTACCGACCTCGACAGGAACAGTGCGTCGCATCCGCCCAGTTCTCCGTTCCTCCATTCCTCACTTACATCAAACGCAGGTTCCAGAAAGCCATCAAGAAAGTCCGTGCCGTACAAGCGCATGCGTCGCAACCGCGGCTTTGCCTTCACTCAGACCGAAAATGGCCGACAAGACCAGGAGAAGATTATCCGCGCAGTATGATACGACCAGGTCGGGCGCAAGACCATCGGGGTATTAAGAGGCAGATCAGCACTGCTGGGTTGTGTGGATGGGTGGGTAAAGGAGACGTGGAGGGCCGATGACCGGCTTTAATGTTGCATGGACTGGATGTATTCTATCATATCGTTGCACTAATGACTATACCCGAGACACGCTGTTACTCCAGACGAGAGGATACCATATGTTTTGTTTCTGGTCATTCTATTGTAAGCTTATCGACTGGTGTGCCACAAAAAGGAGGCCTTGCCAGGGTTCGAACCTGGGTTTTGAGAAGATGGGAATCATGTGACGGTGAACCGTCAAAATCTCAAGTGATAACCACTACACTACAAAGCCAACCGTGATGGTGTTACGTTGACGTACATTTGATTTGTTGGCCCAGAGGAAGTTCTAGAAATATGATTGAGTAATGTTCATTGAGAAGGGCCAATGTTTGTGGAGTATTCGAATGGTCAGGTTGACGGCAGGTTGATGGGGCCTCTAGCTTACTGTGTTCTGGCAGTAGATTTGTGGGCCTTGACTACCTCCGCGACCCCTTTCGCCTGCGAATTGACCTGAGTTGTCTAATCGCTGTTGCAGTACTCAGGCTTAACTCTCCAGGTCAGATACCACTCCATGCAGGAAGCTTGGAAGTTGATGGCTGTACTGACAAATACCTCTGCTTGCCATGTGGACTGACCTCCACTACGACGTGTTTCTCATGACCCTGACAGTTTGTCCGGGTGTGGCACACGCAACCGCGACCGCCTTCTGGACAATTTTATTATGCCTCGCATGACGGCTTGGGAGATACTTTGGAGGACGTCGTGAGTCACATCTGTCTGCTTGGACACGTGCTTCTCAAGCTAACATATGAATAGGCTTGTCTTGTTACCCGTAATTCTTGGGATAGCGCTCATTACGACGAACTGGACTGCGCCTTGGCACAGTATTCTGCCGCTCTCCGAGGACACCGGCCCATCTTCAACCGACCCAGCATGTGCCAACCCGCCCATGGACCAGTGTTCCTTCTATGTCACCTGCCTCGAGTCGAGATATCACTGCGGCCCAAACGGCTATCCTATTGGCTACGGCCATAACTTCTGCCAGAAGTTCTCGACGGAGCGGTCAAAACTCAACGCTCCAGGACAAAAGTGGATGACCGACACTATGCACTGTCTCCAAATGGTCCTCGTCCCAGACGCAATTGACGTCAATGCCACGACTTGTAATGCCCTGAAGGACCAGGCATTTGCCTCGCATGCTGGGTGTTATACCAGTAATGGGTTCTGCACCTTGGGCGTGCATGATTGGGCAGCGGTTCTTGAAATTGTGGATGTCACGACTCTGTTCTCGAGTTGGGACGCTTTCAAAGCTACGATAGAAACGGCAGCAGATTGTATAGAGTTCTATGCATACATGGTCGAAAGGGGATTGTTTTGATAGAACGCAAGTACTATCCATCCGAATTGATGCGCACAACATTAATGTCCATAGTACTATTCGTGATCTCTCAATGTTACATTAGTAACTACATACTGTCTATGTGACTGGATGCCTTTCCGTAGCCTCCAGAATAAAATATTATCATATTTTCTATTAAATTTCGACCCATTAGGAAGGTGTGCCGCAATGCCGGGCATGAAATGAAGGGTATTTCCAATGCACCATCCTCAACCACCCTCGAATAAACCTTAATCTGTAAGGGGGGTCGGACCCCCTCGAATAGATTTTCCTGAGCCAGAATAAAATCAAGACTGCCTTTTCCGGCCATTACACCTACGATTTTCATTACATCAGCATTAGTGATTGCTACGCCGATACTGGTGACTCGCTGAGACGATGCAAAGTTAACAACATTCTAAGCCTGAATACTGCCCGAACTCACTCCCGCGCCTGTCGTCTATGTCCCTGGAATCCCGGCTACTGAACGGCCTTTAAAACCATTTATGTTCAGCCGAATGGTGCCCTGTAAGCCAACCATGGGGGTCACAGTCTACATTGTCGAGTTCAAATAATGAAGGACTAGACCAAGAGCTCCGGTGGCATCTAAAGATCGTCGCTCAGGCCGTGGATTGGCAGTGACACTTGTGTTGTTACGTGGAATTGCGGTTTCGTCGCATCGTGTGGCAAAACTTGAACCAGAGGTGAGGATGTATGTACATCAATGTTTGTACATCATGGTGATTATGAATGTATGGTCATTCTGACCGTCATACAACACCTGCCATGGTGTAGCAAGGCGAGGATTAGGTAGCAGGTTTAACAGGTAGAATCAATGTTCACACCTGCTCAGATCACGGTGTAGTTTAATCTACGATAAAATTCCAAGCCTCTGTGGTTTATTCGGGTGAATAAACATGCAGATTATACCGATTTCAAATTGTTTTGGGACTCCGATATATTATAATCTTTTATTCTGGAGGCTACGGAAAGGCATCCACTATTACAGTACAATAAATCCAATACCCACGTGTAAATCCAGTACTGAGCCACAACGTCCACAGTACAAAAACCGTCGATGCTCTATGTGTTCGTCCGTATCATCCTGAGCCAGCCTAGTTGTTTGCTCCCAAAAAAAAAAAAAGAATATGAATCCAGAACCAGCTGGCCGGCACATCCAAGCGCATCCCTCTCACTCACGTTCACCTCGCATAACTCACATTCCACTGCTGGGCGTTGAACCCAGCCCAACCCTTTTGCCTTGCGATCACCTCGCCAACGGCGTCACTTGCAATATTGACCATAGACCTCGTCCTACTCCGCTGTGAGTCCACGGCATGCCTAGGAATGGAAACTGGGATGGGTCGTCGGCGAGGTACGAATTCCGGAATGTTACGCAGATTGAGCGCTGACCATGGTTTTTTCTGCCTCGGCGGAGCAGCGGCCATAGGTGCTTTTACCTGTACCTGTGATAGCACTGCTGCCAGTAGCTTGCCATGAACTACACCATGTAAGGGACACTGCGAGATCCCTGAAATTGTCGGTCTTTCGGCACAGGCCTCCGAGGCCTCTGACGGGGAGGACGGCCGCTCGCGAATGACAGAGCGACTGCGGTGCACCTGGTAAACATGCTAAGTAAACCTAACAAAGGTGAAAGAGCAGTATGAAGGACACATACGTTGTTCGTGGCGTGTTGTTTATCAGTGTGTGGAGGGACCCGAGACGCCCACTGCTCGATGGCCTCATAGTTGAGGGAGCTAGGAGCCGAGGAAACCCTAATCTCGGTGTCGGATGTGTCTATACTAGATGGTCCGTGTGCGATCAGACTGACGTCCACTGCCGAGTCTTGAGAAGCCGAGGAGCAATCGTCAGCGTCGAGGGCAGGCATCGTGTTTCCGGACCGGAAATCCAGTTCCAACGCGCCATCAGCGTCGATGGCAACTAAAAGGGCAGCGCCAAGTGTCTCGGGTAGTATCTTTTCGTCGACCGAGGGCTCGCTGGAAGATCGGGAGTCGCTTTCGAATTCCGAGTCATTACCAGACGAGAGAGAGTTATCGCATCCATCGCTCCTGTATCGGCGCGCCGCGGCCCTACGGTCCCGAAGAGCCGCTCGCGCAAGTACACCGAGCCGACTTCCAGAGCGAGCCCCAGAGCTAGGTTTCCTGACTGCAATGGGTTGTTCCATGGTAGGATACCTCCAACGTGACTTCCTGTTCCGGCGGGAGTCCGGGGTTCTTGCTTCACGAGGTATCTCCGATCCATTGCAGATTCCTTCTCGGGGACGAGGTCCCGCTCAACGACGGGTTGCCTCTCCACGACGAGTTGCTTCTCGATGACGAGCTCCTCCTCTCTGATAGGCTGTGCTATCGTAGCAACTGTTTTCTCCTCCACTGGTCGCTTTTCAACTTCCTCTTCCCATAGACACAGGAACGGAGCACGCCAACGCACTTCCGAGGCAGCAGAAGCAGCCCACGCACTAGTCCTCGCGGATCTGCTCTCCATCATTAATGCCTGATCATCAACAACAGCAGATGAAGGCGCTGGCGGGGTCTGGTAGTCGCGGCTGGAGTTGAAGGGTTGACGCCCAAACTGGTCTTTTGACATCGCAGGAGCCGAAGGATGTCTCCTCATAACGGCCTGAGGGATGAATACCAGGCTGTCAGGATGTCGCTTTACGAGATAGAAATCACGCATGCGTTAGCATTACGGATTGGAAAAGTAAGTAGTACTTGCCTCAACTTGTTGTGGATTCGCCTGTCGGTTTGCCTGGGCGCCTGTAACAGCGCTGCCAAGAGCAGATGGGTGCGAGCCCTTGTCTCTGAGATTTGACGAGCAGATGATGCGTCCGACATCATCTTTTCTGGTATGCGCCTCCGGGGCAGTTCCTTCCTTGGTAGTAGTTGTTCGACATTCTCCCCACCTGGTGGGTTTTCGGAGTTGCCTCAACGCCAAAGGCTCCCGGCCTTCTACGGCAGCGGTTCTCGGCTCAGCATCTCTCGTTCGCAGTCTGGGGATTGTGCTGTTACTCAGCGGAGGGCCTGCGTTTTTCGCCTGTTCCTCGGACTCTGTCCAACAAGGGACACTAAGTAGGGTCGCTTCTAGGAGGTTTGATGAGGGCAGGGGAGTACTGATGGCGCTGAGCATGACTTCATCAGGAACCAGAAGAGTACTGCGGTGTGTCACATCTGCATCAAGGGCAGAAAAGGTGGTGGAAGGAGCATCAAGATCAGGAGAGGCAGCAGCGTTAGAAGGTACATGGCCTCCAGACATCCTCATACGCTTCTTCAGCCTCACAACTCTGTCGTTCGATACAGAGGGTCGCCTTCCCAGCCTGGGTGGCGTACTGGTGGAGATGGTAGCGCCATCTTCTGATACCAGATACGCAGCATCTGGGAGGGCGGCTTCCAACGCGTCCGCAGCCGGGAGGGACGTCCGAAGGGCTATGTGCGCGACCTGGTCGTTATCCCATGAGTTTGAACAGTAGAATCGACGGCTTCCTTGGAGTCCGGGGAGAGACCAAGGTTGGAGACAACAGGCTGATCGACTGCGTTTTCGGTTGATGGGACTGGCACGCTGGGTTGGATGCGCGGCAGAGAAGCCCCATTGTCGACATCGTTTGGCGGGACCTTCAACGCATCGCCCGTACAGCAAGGCGGGTCGGAGGTGCTATCGAGTGGCGTGCAGATTTTCTCTGTCATTAGGCGAGGTCACAGATGCCGAGTCCGCCACATCCGGCTGAAGCTCTGGCCTACTGTTGACCATTCCGGGAGACCCGTCGGGCTGAGCCTGAGGGACTGCGCTGATAGTTGCATCAGGTATGGATTCTTGATCGTGTCCTGTGTACCGGCTGGTACCATCGTAAAGGGCGAGATTGCCATCACTGGAGCGTATGTTGTTAACCATGGATTGGCGTA